ATGGGTCCAGCTTTTCTACTATTTTTTATACCTAGATCTACTCTACAACGTATTCCATTACTTTTTAAATGTTTCAGAATAAACTGTGATGATTAAATAGTAAGAGAAGAATATAACTCTCATCCCAAGAAATTGTTTCCCCGGCATTATCTTCTGCAGCAAAATTCGCCCAATATATAATCCCGCTCATTTGGTTTTTTTAATATGTAGCTTTATCAGAAATTAAAAGTATAGTATTTTTGCTTTTTACACTTTTTTCCTATACAATTTAATAATATACTATTACAGCGCACATGTTAAAATAAGTTTGAATGAGTACGCTAAGGGTCTCTTTAACAGTAGGGTAGATAAAGTGAAACAAACCATTGTGCATTGTGTCATTTTTTTCAAACAAATTTCATAATAATACAATATTATTTCCATGGAAACGACGGAATAACCTAAGCTTGCTATTTTGGACGTCTAAATTAAATACATACAAAATTTTTAGAAGTTTTATGATTTTATAGCTTCTGCTATAAACTAAAGTTTTGTATTATACAAAGAAACTAACCAACTCATGAAAGATGATTCAATCGATGGTTCCCTTTATCGTCTTGTAAATAAATAACTAAAAATTCATTCACTAGTGTGCAGGTTTTTAATGATAATTTCAAGTATTTTAGAATTTCTAGAGCTTTAAGAGTTTGATAAAAAATGAGAAACCGTTTAATCGACAGTTATATCGCCCGATCGCTGCAGACAGTACATTCTATAAACGAAGATCGAAATCTTTACATGTTACGAATAACATTTGAGTAAAGGATTTTTGTACAACAGCAGGACGTTTGATTAGTTTTTTATTTATTTATTTAAATTACGACTAGACGAAACACAAAAAGGTCGAAATAGTCCGCCTTTCTATACTATTGTGTAAATGTCATGTGAACTTTTTTAGGCAGAACCGGCCATCCTGTATGTGTAAATGTTTTCATGTAGTTGAAATCTGGATAGGAGGATTTTATTACGAATCGGCACGGAATTGGTTTATTTCATCAGAATTTGTTATGTTAGTATCTATTTGTCCATTTTAGATTTCATTTTAATTGTTTAATTTTTTATGTAAATTTTATCCTTCGTGTAAATTTGTATATTTAAATGATAAGATGTAAACATTGTGCGTTAGAACGTAAGAAACATCTGGTCGTTGTGCTATAAGGACATTGTTATCGCGAAGGTTTCGAGACGCACATGTGTATCGCT